AATTACTGAGTCGAAGAAAATCCTGGTATCTAGAAATAGCCGCGCCCCCCCCCCCCCCCACTCCACCGGCCAGCCATCAAATTACTGATGTCGGTGAGACAGTTCTGTCTGATGTATGCAAGTATGCCGGCGCTGGTAATATTGAAAGTCATGCAAGAGGTATTCTTATCGATTCTGACTGGAACGCTCGTACGATGCTGTAAAGAACGGAAATCTGACTTGTACGGTGGCGCTGCTTCCTAAAGGACCCCATTTTCACGTAAAATGTAGTTGAGCTAGACACTGGGCGGCCTTCAGTGCCTTGTCTGTTTGCCCGTTACTGCTGATTCTAGAATGGCTCTCTGCATTGGCCAGCTTATTGCTCTTCTTTATTCTGTAAAGTGCCCTGTTCTTTCCGTGCTCGACCCACCGGCTTCAGAGATCAGGACAGGCTGCGGCCTCTGTCATTTGGTGCTGTTTATTGTGATGCGGACTGCCATTTCGGGGATGATATAATAAAGTTTGAATCTTCTGGCTGCCACACCTTACGTTGTAATCTTTACTATGCTGACGCAGTGAAGCCCCACCCTGGCTTTTGCTGGGGCCCTGAATATAATAAGGCCATCAATTTGGCTTAACGGCTGAAAGGGGTTTCTGCGACCTCTCCATGGGTGATCCTCATCCACATGATGGCACTTTGTGTCACTGGGTGTTTGTCGCTTGTGTGATATCCTTGTGCGGTACAACAAGAGAGAGAGAGAGAGAGAGAGAGAGAGAGAGAGAGAGAGAGAGAGAGAGAGAGAGAGAGAGAGAGAGAGAGACGCATTGTGTAAACTTTGGCTGACATTGTAATCTTTAGCTTTCTTTTTCTTCTTCTTCTTCTTCTTCTTCTTCTTCTCTTCCACCTTGTACCTTAGGGAAGTGTCAGGGAGAGATGTAACATTCGTTGATGAGCTCTGTCAATAACATTATTAAGACTGATGTTCATTTCCGAAAGGCTGTTCCTAATGCAACCACTTCATATTTTCCTAGGTCTTCCACTCGCGTTTTAGTGTGGCTCACTGTGGCAGATAGTACTAGGGCATTCTTGTTAGGTGTCCAAACCACCTCATTTGTTGTTCTTTGATGTCTTGTAAGTTCGTCTGATTTTGTGAGTTTGTATTCTGTCTTTCCTTAAAACTCCTGCAGCTCTTCTAATGCATTTAATCTCTGTTGTCATATTTTACGTTCATTGGAGGATTTAAGTGTCCACGTTTGGCACTGATAGCATAGTCTTGGGCCGAAAAATAGTTCTGATAAGATTAACTTTAGTATTCTGATGTATCTGCTTGCGTGTTAACAGGGGAGATAGTTGCCCCATTACTTGATTAGCTTTTGCACATCCCAAGCTAATTTGTGAAAATTGCTCCGATATACTTAAATTCCTCTGTTTGTCTTAAGGTTTTGTTTTTTAATTTTATTTCTAAATTGTCTTTCTGTCTTCCTATCACCATTGTCTCTGCTTTTATAGTGTTTATTTTCATATATCCTCTCCTTTGTTGCTAATTTGATTTAGGTGGTTCTGTGGGCATTCCATACTTTTTGCTATGAGTAACTGGTCGTCGGTGAATAGTAATTTCTTTTTGATTAAAGCTCGTTTCCTTTCATATGGGATAGTACACAGCCCTGGCGCACACCAGAGTTCACTATAAAAGTTCTTGACAACCCTGCCTTCGATCTTATGCAGCATTTACTACATGTGTACAGGTTTTTGCAAATAATAATCAGATGATTGATGATTCCCTTTTCCCATACATTCCCACAAATTATTCCTGTCGACTCTGTTAAAGGCTTTTTCCTGGTCTATGAAAATGGCATCTGTGCAACTTCTGTTTCATCAAAAGCCCATCTGTGCTTCTGAAAGTTGATACTCTATCAATGGTCTCAGCCTTCTTTTGATGATCTTTACTGGTGCTATTTCCTACTGCAGTTGTCATACTCATGAGATCACTACTTTATCTTGGTTTTGGTCATCGCATCCCTCAAGGCTGCTGTATGTATGTTTAACACGTCAAAGATGACAATCGAAAAGCAAAATCTGGAAACCCTTTTCAGCCAACACTTATATCCTGATGTCCTTATGTTTAGGAAGTAAACTTATGTTTAGGAAGTAATTTGTCCAATATGGGGGGGGGGGGGGGGGGGGGGGGGGGGGGGGGGGTTAATTTATATTAGTCAGAGTGTAGCAATACAGATAAACTTAGTTTTAAGTTGACCAGATATTTTTGAAAATTGCTTGGCCAAAGATTGCTATACTTTCGGTTGCATATAAATGTATACTGAGAAGTGAGGCATGAATATCTACACAGACAATAAATGACAGAATAACATACAAAGGTGGTGAGGAGTTGATGAAGTATACAAAATGCCACTTAATATTTATTCATAAGCTGAATAGAGGGGAGCTAACCTGTTGGCATTTCATCTATTCACAAGGGACATAATTCACATAGTTGGGTATGTCAGATGAATGAACGATTATTCGTGGGCATGAATATATGTATGGAATCTAGGAATGTGCATTGTTGGGGAAAGGGTGTCATCAATTGGAAGGACTTCACAAACACATGGTTTTGTCTATGCTTTGTTACTCCTGTGTCAGTTTCCAGACGTAATCTGTTTTGCTGTTAATGTCATTGTATAGATTTTACTATAATCAATTAAAGTCCTCCCATGTGGGGTGCAAACTCCATTCAGTTATGTCCTTCTTATGACATAATTTTTTGTTATTTGAAGCCCCACTCTGGCTTTTGCCAGGGGCCGCAATATAGGCAGGTCATTATTATGGCCAAATGTCTGAACGCGGTTTCTGGGACCTCTCCACGGTGATCCTCATCCGCATGGTGGCACTTTGTGTCATCGGGTGTTTGTCACTTGTGTGATGTCCTGGTGGGGTAGAAAGTCAGTCAGTCAGTCAGTGGGGTGCAATTTACTTTTGTCATTTGAATCCCTACTCTGGTTGTGCAAGGGGCCGCAATATAACCTGGTGATAAATATGGTCTAAAGGCTAAACACGGTTTCTGGGACCTCTCCACTGTGATCCTCATTCACATTGTGTCATCGGATGTTTATTGCTTGTGTGATGTCCTGGTGGGGTAAAAGAAGACAGACAGATTCATTATTTGAAAACATTGTTTAGAAATCAATCAGCAAACTCAAACTAAAAAAAAAATGTGTAGAAATCAATCAGCAAACTCAAACTAAAAAAAAAAATGTTTAGAAATCAATCAGTAAACTCAAACTAAAAAAAAAATGTGTAGAAATCAATCAGCAAACTCAAACTAAAAAAAATGTGTAGAAATCAATCAGCAAACTAAATAGCAAGGTTGTCTTTGTCTTGGCAATGTGATTTAAACATTTGGGTAGCCAAGATGGCAGGCTGGTGATATGGGGACTTACCCACAGAAAAAATAAAGCAGGTTACTGTCAAACAGGGATTTCCTAATGAAATTCTATAATAACTGTATGGGTTTTCTGAAACTTGCTGTTTCCTGTGTGATTCTCATCTGTTAGATGTTAATCCTGCAGGAAGCAATCCTGGAGGGGAATGGTGATGAACCAACCAACCAGCCAAACAGGGTCCCATTGTGAAAAAACACCCAAAAAAAAAAAACCCAGAATAGACTCGCTGCCTCCCCAACAAGCATGTTGTAAGAGTCGACTAATTAGTGGTTCCCTTTGAAGTTAAACTACATCTGCCTGAGAGGCAAGGAACCAACAGTTTGCATGCATATGAATCGGATCTGTAAAACAGATTTATTCTGTAAAGTGTCTAGTTCTTTCCACGCCCATAACACTCAAGTTCTGGAATAAGTCTCAAAGTCCAGAGGTGTTGAACAACCAGTACTTTTCACCTGAGTTTACAGAGAAAAAGAATGAGTATCAGTGCCTGCACAAGACTGCAGGTTAACCAGACTGGTGTCCGGTGTAGCTGCAATGTGTCTCCCCAGGTATAACTTCTTTGGAGATTGAACAGGGTACCTGGGATTTGCCATGTTGGTCTGCCACCTAGAGGATGTCAAAACCTTTTAGGTAGCAACCACCATGCCAGAGAAAAAGATGGCTTGCATATACAGTATCTTCACTCATGCAGAATTGTCAATTACGCCAGCCTAGTGCAGTTGTTATGTGTGCCCCAGTTATAACATTAGTTGTTATGTGTGCCCCAGTTATAACATTAGTTGTTATGTGTGCCCCAGTTATAACATTAGTTGTTTTGTGTGCCCCAGTTATAACATTAATTGTTAAGTGTGCCAGAGTTATAACATTAGTTGTGATGTGTGCACCAGTTATATCTTTAGAGGTTAAACATGATACCTGGGATTCAAAACCTACCCTGCACAGTTTGTGGCGACTGCACCAGACATGCAGCCTGAAATCCTCAGACCTGTGACAACTGTCATTTGCCACTCTTCTTTTTTTTCTTCTTCTCCTCTTCCTCCCTGCACAGTTTGTGGCGACTGAACTAATCAAGCATCCTTAAACCCTCAAGCTTGTAACTCCTCTGTCCTTTGCCACTCTTCTTCTTCTTCTTCTTCTTCTTCTTCTTCTTCTTCTTCTTCTTCTTCTTCTTCTTCTTCTTCTTCTTCTTCTTCTTCTTCTTCTTCTTCTTCTTCTTCTTCTTCTTCTTCTTCTTCTTCTCCTCCTCATATTTCTTCTTTTCCTCCTCTTCCTTCTTCTTCTCTTCCTTCTTCTCCTCCTCCTTTCTTCTTGTTGTTGTTGTTGTTCTTCTTCTTATCTTCTTCTTTTTCTTCTCCTCCTCCTTCCCCCTCCTGCTCCTCTTCCTCCTCCTCTAGTCCTATTTTGCCTTTCAGAGTCAGGTTTTAAAGAGTCATCAGTTGCAAGCCTTGGTATGTGCTACATAGATACCTATATATGAAAGTGGTAAATACATTCAGTAAAGATAGTCAATTATTCAGCCATTATGTTCTAAATATGGCACTAACAGTGTTGATTGTAGCACATGATGACTTTTTTCACAGGTTGTGCATTTGTGAAGTTCTCGAACCATCAGGACGCTGTCGCTGCCATCAACGCTCTGCACGGTAGCCAGACCATGTCGGTAAGCTCTCCGTGGGTATGTGGGTGTTTAGGTTTGTTTTTGTTTGTGTCTGTGGTGTTTGTGGGTAAGTGTGTAGGGTGTATATGCAAATATGTGTATAAATGTGGCTGCATGTGGTTAAATGTGTAGGGTATGTAGATGTGGGGCTATTTGTGTGTTGTGTTAAATGTTTGACTGTTTGTGGGAAAGTGTGTGGGTAGTTACATGTTTTGTCTGTAGTTGTTTATAGGTGTAAGTACATCTGTGTGTCTGTGGCTAATATTGCAGCTGCAGGTGATATGGCAGCAGACCGCCTTGCATTGCTTTCAACAGTAATATTGAGACTGCCATTCAGAAACCAATGGCAAACTTCTGAATGTAAATTTTCTTAGAAAAACCACAACAGCCAAAAAGTGTTGGGATTTACATCCTGTAAAGGATACCCACATAACTTTAGTGGTTTGTTTGTATATAAATATGAAGATATATTTATGTAGCTGTTTGTGGATAAAAATAATTATATTTTATATGGTTTATTGTGGCTAAGTATGAAGATGTATGTTATGTTTGTGGGTAAGTCTAGAGATATATGTGGCTGTTTATAGATATTTGTTGCATGCATGTTTGTTAGTGAATATTTTATATTTGGATGTCTTGTTTATGTGTGTGTGTGGCTGCCTGCACATATTTGTTTTTGTGACTTTTTAAAAACAAAAAGTCAATAGCAGATACGGCCATGCAGGGTGTAAACTGTTAGACCTTTATATAGTCCATTCTTTTTGTGGGTCTCAGGTTTCCAGTTCTGATGGGAAAGTGGAATAGACCCCACCCCCAGGACCCACACTCCCAACAAGAGTGTTACAAAAAGTAAATTAATTAGGGGTTTGCTAAAATTAGATAGGCTTGGCTACAAGGCACAGATTTTCACAGCGTTGCTGTAAAGCACAACAAAATGTGGCAGCTGCCTTTTTCAAGGGTAAACACAAAAGAAATACATTTCCCTTCTTCTTAGTGTAGGCCAGCTATAGACTTCTGCAGACAGTTCTGGTTGTTCGTCCAGTTCTGGACTATTTAGTCTTATCCCAGAACTCGAGTTTTATGTGCACATCCATTTTACAGAGCTGGCTTATTTGTATACAGGCTGTTAGTTCCCTACCTCACAGGCAAGTGCAATCCTACTTCAAAAGTAACACGCCCAATTAGTCACCTTTTTGGCATGCTTGTTAAAAGGGATAATGGCCTTTTCTTCTATTTCCTGAAAATGGTGTCGTGAAAACCACATGGGGTGAAACATTCTCCATTTCTTAAAATCATAATATGGCTGGTGCCGCCCTTCTTGCTCTAATAAATTTCTGTTGTCATAACACATTCCAAATATATCTTTCCCACAATGTGACCAAATAAATTAAATATACCTTTCCCGCAATGTGACCAAAGAAATTAGATTATCTTCTGGTGATCCATATGGTTATTTTACTTTTTTTTTAAAATCACATAGTGATCCATATGATATTTAATAATTTTACTTACTTGAAGATCACTAATGTGTGTAGTACTGTCAGTTCCATAAAAATCACTGTGTGATCCATGTGGTAAATTTAGTTTCAGGGAAATAACTAAGTGATCCATACATCAACTTTAGTTACATAGAAGTTACATAGAAAACGCTAAGTTATCTCTGTAATACTTTCGATGACACAATTACTATGGGATCCATATGGCAGCCAAGTGGTCTGTAGTGATACTCCATTTTCATAAGATTCACTGAGTGATTCTGGATAACCATTGCCTCTTCTTGTAGTCCATGCTGTATGGAATTGGTAGTTATGTCTATTCACAGCCTTCTGTCTCATGTACTTTCAGGCATTTCTGACAGATGATATACCATGTCCTTCTGCCTTTTTCCCCCTTAAGCTTTCTCACCCTCTGTAGAAAATGTATTTCAATTTTCTTCTTTCATTTAGTGACTGAGAAATGTAAATTGTTGACCTTCAGATGTGAGCAGTCAGTTATTTTTGTGAGGTAATTAATGTGATAAATTGTCATAATAAAAAATTCATGTAATAATCCTTCTGGTAACTTTAGTTACATTCATTATTCTTGCCTGCCGCCAGGGCGCCTCATCAAGTCTTGTAGTCAAGTTTGCTGATACAGAGAAAGAGAGACAACTTCGCCGTATGCAGCAGATGGCTGGCCCTCTTGGCCTTCTCAACCCATTTGCTCTTGGTGGATACAGTGCTGCTTATGCTCCAGTAAGTTCTGTTTGTGTCTGCTTATGTAATGTTCATATCTATGACAAATTGATTCTTATTCCCTTGTGGAGTTGCAGCTTGTTTGGTACTGGAAACAGCACTGTCTTCTTCATATTCTTTGCTTACTTCTTTTGTGTTCATCCTTAAAAAGTAGTAGGCAGTTGTGTAGTGGTTTACAGCTAGGCTGTAACATAAAGTCTATCAGTCCATCTTCTTCTTCACATCATCTTCTTTCTCCTCTTCCGTCTTCTTCTTCTCCTCATCTTCCTCCTACTTCTGTTTTTAAATTCCTGTTCTCGTCTTTTTCAACCTCTGCCTGTAACTTGCCCTACTTTCACAAATCTGTCATAAACCAGGCATATTTACACACTGTTTATCTTTGCATTTTCTATATTTAACGATCTGACAGGATTTCAAGTACTCAACTTATGTTCATGGTCCTTTTTAATTTTTTAAGTGACTAATAATGAACACAACACAAATTTCTAAGAAACTGAACTAAGAGATGCACACAGCTGAAAGGTTAAGTTTCAACCAAAGTCTTTATCAGCAATAAAACATGGAGAATCTTTCACTTTAAAAATAAATGGAAACAACGGACTTTCATGGAAATATTCATGTAACCTTTTTTTTTTACAATGCTGCTCAGCTGCAGTCATGTCTATTTTATTTTGACATCTTAAATTTAATTAAAATTTAAGCTATCTAACCAGGGTAACAAATGCCTGAAGAAGTTGAATATTGAATTAAGAATTGACATCACAGCACTCGGAACATTCCCATAAGTGCTCAGTCTCCCTCTTCAGCAGCAAATGAAGAGTTCCAATTCCGATTGTACCAGTAACCGTCTGATTATTTTCCTATCTCATCCTTCCCCTGAGTGTTGAGAGTCAGCCAGATCCCCTGGTAACTCCTCGCAGCGCTATTCTCTTTAGACCGTAATGATCTATCTGCGCCTCCGCACTGTTCACTCGCTCCCAAAGGGCCCTTACAATATCTAGCTTGTCATACATCAAATCTCCACCAAGTGGTGCAGAGCCAGCTAGTCTATCTACCTGCTTATTTCCCAACACACCAGCATGACTTGGAGAAAATATCCAAAGGATGCTAACTACTTGGGACCTTTGAAATGAGGATTGCTGTACGAAGCATGCCTGTTTTCACCTTTTTGTCAGCATGCTCTTTGAGTCAGTTACAATCAGGACACATGTGTACAGCTGATTCTCTCAAGCCAGCGCAAGGCAGCAGAGACTGCCTCCACCTCCATTCTCAAACTAGACGTTGTGATATCATATGCACGGTTTTGCTGCACTAAGCGACGTCCATTTGCCTTTACTATGAAACCCCATGCATTTCGTCTGCCCCTCCACACAGAGCCATCTTTATAGGTAATCACATTACTTAGGTGGGAATTTGTCATGAATCATTTGTTGAACTTCTGATTCTGCAGCACCAGCTGGCCAGAGGAAGTAGGATGGGCCAGCCAAACAGTACAAATGCCGTTAGTATTGTAAAGCAGTGCAATTGTGCCATCAGATAAATAAGAAAGTTGTTGTAGTTTAAGTTTCCTGCATGACACATTTGTTTCTATTTGTGTTCTTAGGTGGAGGCACCTTATGAACTGGCCCGTGTGGGATCTTATGAAACATTGGCCCCTCAGGTGAGTAAAATTATGGGATGTTTTTCTGAAAAAGTTGGAAATAAAGCCCAGATGGGTTTATTCTGTTATACGATATTAGGTGTCAAGCTGCAGAAGCCTGAAGAATATAAAGCAGACTGCAATTCATGCAAGAAATAGCTGGCAAATCATAAAAAATAAGTTTGTAGGCTGTTCAGATTTACTTTTAACTCTTTGAGTCCCAAGGAACACATCATACGTTCATAGGTTCATACCTAGAAGCCCAATGAACGCATGATGCGCTGATTTTATTACTTTCTTTACTACCCCCTGGGCCTGGGATGCTAAACTAATCCCACCTTGGGACTCAAAGAGTTAAACAGTCTCAGTAAGCCCATATACACAGATTGTGTGCATAAACATAGCCAGAATGATATATTTCCAGACAACAATAAGATGGCCTGTATTTTGTTTTCTGTTTCAAAACTGCCCAGATGATTAACCAAATACGTTTTTCTCTCTCTACAGCCCTTGTACACAAAGCAGACAGCTGCCCTACAGTCTCAGCAGTTGATGCAGCAACAAGCTGCCCTCATGGCTGCAGCCCAGAGCCCTTACTTTTCCACACCTGTGAGCATGTTATCCACCCAAGTCCAGCAGCTGACCACTCTGCCTGCAACACCAAATGGTTTGGTGTCCACTGCCATTACCCCAACAACAGCTACTTTAGGAAGTGGTAGGTCACTGAAAATGTTTCTGACTTTTTCGTTTTGTTTGTTCTCTGGATTTATTCCTTATATTTAGTTTACCTTGATATATCTTTGCTTAGATGCTAAAAACTATGTAATTTCAGTTTGCAGGGTTTGATCCCTGCTGTGGGTAATTGGTAGCAGATGCCAACTGTTGGTTTTGACAGTGGTATCAAGAGCCGACCATCAGAAAGCTGTGGCAAAGCTAAACATAAAATTGCCCAGTGAAACCACAAATAGCCACACACAAAATTCTTTGGTTAGTTCTGCAGTGTCCTGTGAAGGATACACAACCAACTGATACAGTGGTACCTCGGTATGCTTCCACTTTCTAATTAGTCCAACTTAGTAAATGTCTTGTTTAGAGGTAAATACAACTCACCTGTTAGAGCTTATATGAATCAGAATAAGTCATGACACTTACCTCTCTCAAGATAAAGCCATGACTGCCTGAACATGGGTTCCTACCATTCAATGAACAACCCATGCTATAGTTATGCTGAAATGTCACAGGATTTTGTGTTTTGAATGTGTGTAGTAAAATCATTAACCATGAGTTCTAAGAAAGATAATAAAAAGAGCTAAGCAACAAAGAAAATGGTTTGGATCACTATACAACCCTATCATTGTATAACACACCAATAACAGTAAGAACACACAGTAGCCACATTGTGGGGGGAAATTGGAGTATTTTCAAAGAAAGCTTTGGGCACTCTAGCAAGTGTTCACCACGAAGATGGCAGTAATTTGTTTGCAATTTATTTAAATAGTGTTCCCCGTTATAAAGAAACTTTTTACACCAAGAATTGATAATTGTGTATTAATAATCCATAGGCATCCTTTCGCCATCTTCAGGCACCCCCACGCCTGTGACCATCAATGGAGGGCCACCCAGCATGTTATCACCAACAGCCATGGCTTCATTTGCAATGCAGCCCAGTAACGGTGCCACAGAGATTTACGCAAATGGTATCCCTCATTACGCAGGAATATACACAGCAGGTAAAGCCAGAATACCATGAAAATGAAATTCTCTGTCATTTTATATTTCTGTTGTCACAGATTCTGCCATTATCAGCAAACGCCTATTGGGTGTTTGGTAAATAAATGGAAGGCACAGTCCCTGTCAGTTGCATGGTGAGAGTCAAGTAAATAATGTCCTGTAGAAGAACTGGTTTTCTTTGTGGTTGGTTGACTTTGACACAGAATCTTCATTCAGTTGTGTATGAAACCAATCAAGGATTTGTTCTGCTACTCTGCTACCAGGCTGTTCTCTCCATTCAACTAGTGTAAGTTAACTGGCACTTACAGGTAGACTGAAATTGTAACAAGCATTTGTTCTTCAAGCCTACAAGACCTCAGGCCCTGAACCTAACTGCCCCCTATACCTGAGCTGCTGGGCATTAACACGAAAAACCAACATGATATACACAAATATTAGTTACATGCATTGTAGAAAATAGGTTTACTTTTCATCTACTTTGGCACCAATATTCCACCTTTGTGTGCCAATCCACCCAGTAGAATCAGCCTTGTTTCACAAATTGAGCATCAAAAGTTTCTGTTTGAGAGACACATCCCCTTCTTTTCTATCAATCTAGTTTTAAATCTATAATTTTCAAGATTCTCCTCATCAATCGAGCTCTCACTGACTGTGTCACTTCAGCTGGGAACGTATTCATTCTTCATGAAATTTTGACTCCTCAGAATCTGAAACAACCAAAGTATTGGTCACCTGTTGGACTGTGAAAAACCTAGACCTACTTCACTTTCCTGTTGAAGTGCTTGGTTCATCATCCACTCTTTTCATTGTGAATTTTCAGGATTTTTTTCTCACGTTAAACCACACAAAGTAAATCCAAACACATGTGGGCAATCATTCGCAATGACTAACCACAAAGTTTGATCACAACTGGTTGGTTATTTTTAGTTTGTGGTGCATTTTATAATGTAGTAAGCAAAGTACCAAAAATTAGGTACATCAGTTTAGTGGCAGATTAGGACATTTTTGGAAAAGCGGTGAAGGAGTCTGGTAGAGTTAGTAGGTCAGCTTGGGATGGGAGCAGTCTTATATCTAACCATATTATCTGTTTCACTTCCCTATTTTCCCCATTGTGGGATCTGGGGCACGGGGGGGGGGGGGGGGGGGGGGGGGGTGAACAGATCCATTACAACTTAACAAGCACAGTCATAGAAGGCAACTAATTAGGGATTTTAAAATTTTGATGAAGTTGAAGTGCATCTGCCTGCAGAGGCAGATGGACCGTCAGTCTGCATACATTTAAGCCAGATCTACACATTCCTGGAACAAAGCTAATCTGAAAGCAGATAAAAAAAAAAGAACCAGGGCTTTTTGCCAGGATTTACAACTGTCAATGCTAAACAGCAACAGTTCCCAACCAGTTGTGACACTCTTAATTTTCTTCTTCTTACATTTTATGTTTTTTTTTTATTGTTGAGATTTTACTATGCATAGATTCCATATTTGGTCAAAACGGGAGGGTGCCTGAGGTTTTTCATCAGTGCTGTATAATAGTTAATCTTGCAATGTTGCTCCTGTGGGCCAGATTTATTCTTTCTGGCTCAGTCTGAACAGTCTTTTAAGACATGCTCAGGAGTTTGCTTTGGTGTGCTATACTTTAAAGACATGCTCAAGAGTTTGCTTTGGTGCACTCCACTTTTAAGACATGCTCAAGAGTTTTCTTTTTGCGCTCCACTTCTGTTATGTATGTAGTAGAAACTCCACGGAGGAGCGAGCACAACAGGAGCCTTTTGATCATCAGAAACTTGTCTCTCTAGTTCGAATATTTCAACCTCTTGACCTTCCTTATAGAAGGATAGTGCAAGAAAATATTATTCTGCTGTCCTCTACTTCATCGTTGTTTCCACCACTGCTGTATGTTAAGTCATTACTTGCACCTGTGACTGGTACTACCCCCTGTGGTCTTTTTCACCACCCAAAAACTTTACTGGTGAATGAGCACTGGAAAATAAGTTTTGAAGCAAAGGTGACCAGCCTGAAATTGACTGGCCTTTAAAGTGGACATTTGGAAAAAAAAAAGTGGCCTTGGCTGCCATGTCCACCCAGCCTTAAATGGTACTAAGTTAAATGTTAGGAAGTAAATTCAGCTGGTGTGTTGTTAACCATATTACCCACAGAGTGCCAATGGGTTTATAAAATATAGATCTAACCCTATATGCCTAATGTCTAAAGGAGTGTAAAGGATCCTTTATTTTACTTCTTGCTGAGGGCTCCTTAATGTCCATGCCATGTGGCATTGGTAGTCACATTATCCACAATCCTCTGTCTTGTGTACTTTCAGTCAACTCTGATACAGATGATCCTTGATGTCAAACTGTCCAGCATCTTTTTTCTTGGTCTTCCTCTGCCTCTCCTTCCCTCCAACTTTCCTACTGTTAGATGTACTCCAGTTTTCTCCTTCTTATCACATGACCAAAGATTGTCACTTTCTGATGTGGGCTATCAGTTTTCTTCGTGAGTCAGTTTCAAGATGTCATCATTACTCTTTTTATCTGTCCCGTGTATTCTCATCATTTATATAGAACCACATCTTCGCAGCTTCCAAATAAGTTTTCACTAATTTACCAACAGTCCATGTTTCAATTCCTTATATCAATATAGGATTTATATAACTTTTAAGGATTCTATTTCTTATCTCAGTTGACAAAGAAAGATTGCATAAAATATTTTTCATTTTGTAAAATGCTGCTTTTGCTTGAGCTATTCGACATTTAACTTCCTTAATACATCTTCAATCTGATGTTATCAGGGTACCCAAGTATTTAATTAAACATATAAACTTGCTTGAGGTTTGTCCCACTTACTTTGATGTTGCATTTTGGAAGGTCAGTTCTCTTTGTAATGACCATAACTTTTTTTGTCTGTTCAAACTAGGACCCATATTTTCATTTTCCGTTACAATAATATCCATCATTTCTTGCAGCTGTATTACATTTTCAGCAATCAAAACTATATCTTCAGCATATCACAGGTTGTTAACAAAGTGTAATATGTATTTACTGAGCGCAGAGTGACCTAAAAAATGGGAAGCCACCACCATATATCCAAGACACTTTAAGGTGGGGGTGGGAGGTGCGGAGATTATCTTATTCATGTAAAAATACTGTATATATTTCCTAAATTCTTCTGCTGCTTTTGCCTAATATGCTGTCACAGTCGTTGCCTTAACTCTGTTATTCCCATAGTTGTATTATTTTGAGAGAAGATTTTTACACTAAAGTGCAAGAAACTGGGATAGAAAGTATTCAAATAACAGTTAAAAAAGTACTTATCAGACAACATTGTCTAATATTAATTATATTTTTATTTTATTTTGCAGCGATGACAAATGGAGATCCTTTACAAGCATATGCTGCAATACCTTCATACGCAGGCATAGGTACGTTCTTAATTGTTAAAGGCAATCATAATTCTCCCTGTAATCTAAGTGAAAATTAACTGTAGGCCATTAGTGCAGTCTCCACAATGCAGGAGAGCTGCAGTAGATCCCTAGCACTCTTTGTCATTTGTCGAGACGTACATCCTTTCAGACTGCTGTTTATCCATAATGTTATTCTCCTACTTGTACCACTATTACGTTTTTTACTGCCTGCCTGCCTGCCTTTCCTGCGTCTAACTTTCCCTTTCCCATCAATATGTTAAAAAAAAAATGAAAATGTCTTTTAATTTGGCTGAAAGATTTCGCTGTTCATTTTTATTTTTTTACAACATCTGTATTTTTATTCCCGTTCTCTCCAGAACCACTGTACAATGGAACCTCAGGATATGAGTGTGCCTGGATACGAGTTTTTCAGGATCCAAAGTCCGGGGCGCCAATTTTTTTGCCCCAGAATACGAGGCAAAGTCCAGGATTTGAGCTAGAGAGGCCAGCAGGTTATATCCAATTTCAAGAAATTATACACAAAACACTTTTTAAAATGAAACAACAAACCTCACCCTATGTGAATTTTTGAAGGATAATTATAACATAGTGATCTGCCTGAGGATAATTAATTTTGCCTGTTTTTAAGCATTTATTATTGTAAGCAGTGCAGTTAATATGATACTAGGTTTAAAAGAAACATATAGGGTGCTTTTTTGGAGGGCGGGAATGAATTAAATTTCTTACAAAAATATTAATTGGGAAACGTTTGCAGGGTATGTGTTATTCACCATAGAACCAAAGTCGTGGAACACTTTAAATGTGCATCTTGAGGTTCCACTGTATTTGGTGTTTTTGTTTGCCATGCATTATACTTTCATTATAATGAGTATAAAAGTGTCTTAAATTATTAAATATTTAGATTTGAAGCAGTTAAAATAATAATGCTATTTAGCAAAAGAGTTGAAATAACTGGAATAGAGTAGATGTTATATAACAACTGGACAGGAGGTAGGAAACTTATGTCCAGTAAAAAAAAAAAAAAAACTTAACACACACAGTGCATTTTTTGGTAATGAAAAAGTTAAGTTAAAAATCTGTCATGTAATGTTTTGTTGTACTTCTTTTCTTATTTAGCAACTTCTGCAGCATGCTTTGTTCTAAGTGTACTGGTGTTATACCTTTTATTTTGAGTAAACAGGACTGGAGAGACAAAACAATACTCCCAGGCTTTGAGCTAAAGAAAGGAGCTTGATCTCCGTCTTCACATCTGTTTCCCCCGCCCCCTTTCTGTTGACTCTATTACTCTCTCTGCCTCTTAGTTTCTGCCTTTTTGTTTCATTGTCTTTTTGTATATCTCTCTGACCCCTCTTTCACTCTCTCTTTGCATCTCTCTTTGCTTCTCTGTCTCCCTACCTAACTATATCTTGTTGTGTCTCTTCGCCTCTCTCTTCCCCTTCCGCTATATCTGTTTTATCCTTCTTTTCCTTCAGTCTGTATTTATATCTGTTTGTCTCTCTCACTGCCTCTCTATGTTTGCCTTTCTTCCTACTTCTGTTTATTTTTGTGTTTCATCTCTTCTTCTCTCACTATATCTGTTTACCTGTCTCTCCATTCCTTTGTATCTCAATTTATTTTTGTCTCTTCCTTCCTAGCTCTCTCCCTGCCTCTTGTATCTGTCTGTTTGCCTCTGTCTTTCTGTTCCTCTCCATATCTCTGTGTGTCTGCTTTTCTTTCTCCTTCCTTCACTAACTCGCTATGTGTGCCCCCCTCCCCACCCCACCCCACTCCCTGAATTTGTGTCTCTCGTCTCGTCTCACTCATTCCCATCCTCTGAGTTCCTCTCTGTCTACCTCTTCCACTCTATCCCATCCTCTCTGCCTCCTCCTTCCATTCTGTCTCCCTCTGCCTCTTCATTCACTCTTTCACCCTCTGCCTCTTTCCCTATCTTTCTGTGCCACTCTCTATTCCCTCGCCCCCCTTCCCCCCTCCCTCATGTCTCCATCATCTCTGCATGAATCCCTCTGTCTTATTCCCTCACTCCATCACCACTCTTTCTGCCTGTCTTTCTCTTATACCTTTTTATCTGTGTACCCCTCATGTGTATCTTCCTTCTCTTGTTCTTTCACTTTCTGTCTCGGTCTACCTCCCCTTGTCTCTCTTTTGTCCCTCACTTTCTTCCCCCTCCCCCCCCCCCCAACCCTCTCTCTTCTTTTTCTGCCCATCTTTTCTAGTGTTCTCTTTTGCTTTTTCCTTTTAGTGTAGGTTTGTGTGTGTACATATGGTTGTCTTACCATTCTATAATTTACATTGTCTTTTCCTGGTCTTTTTAGTAGCTGCAGCTCTCAACATGTCAGTGTTTATTTCATCTATGTGCACCATATTCTCAACATATTTATTGAGCATTCAGTTATTAACCTTGAAATAAACAAAATAAAAAGAGACGAAGCATATAAATAAATTTTAAAAAAAAGAGACCTATCATAAGACCTATAGGTTTGACAGAACCCCCCCCCCCCCCCCCCCTCAATCCTTCCTCTTTATTCCCCTAATTGGGACCTTGGCACTCACGAAGGTCTCTGATAGTGTAAGCTGTATGTTGCTGCCAGAAGCTGCCAATTCCCACCTTAATTACAAGAAAGTACACAGGAAGATGTGGATTGCATGATAGCTTTCATCAAGGCAACTAGCTTCCTGATATAAGTATTCGGACAGAAAAATTAAAGAAGAGGCTCAAAATGTAGGAGACTTTTTATATCTAAGATGTAGCTGTGTGACTTTCACATATTAATGGGATTATGAATAGTTTCTTTTGTTTCGTCAGCATATCCTGCTGTTTATGGGAGTTTCCCACAGCTAACCCAGCCAGCCACCCTCCTACCCACAGCACAGAAAGAGGGCCCTGAAGGTTGTAACTTGTTCATCTATCATCTGCCTCAAGAGTTTGGGGATGGAGAGCTTGCTCAAATGTTTGTTCCGTTTGGCAATGTCATAAGTGCTAAAGTCTATGTCGACCGGGCAACCAATCAGAGCAAGTGCTTTGGTGAGTGTTTGCAAATAAATAGGAAAGTTTATATTGTATCTTTTTTTTCTAAACTTTTATTGTGTATCTGGTTAATTTTACATTATTAGTTTTTCCTCCCAAGATGGGAACATACTGAGGAAGCCAATTAATTGTGTTCTTCTTCTTCTTCTTCAGTATTCTAAGGACTTAGGGTCCAATGCTGCAGATATCACATACCTCCATTTATCTCTGTGGCCTTCTCTTTCCAGATGATGACTACCCAGGTGTTTGTATATCTGCCTGTGTATTTTTTCTTCACAATCTTTTTGGTCTGCCTTGTGGTCTACTCCCATTGAGCTCTTTTGTGTGTGAAAGTTTTGTCTCTGTTGATATCTGTCATTGACTCTATATGCCCCAGCCACACTACACTGTTAGCCCTCATGATAAAAGTGATTAGAGGTGTTATAAAAGATGCCCCAGCCACACTACACTGTTAGCCCTCATGATAATAGTGATTAGAGGATGTTATAAAAGATTATGAATTTCATTTGTGCTTTTCTCTTCCTTCTCTGTTGTTTGCATTTTTGATGGGTCCTTTAATTTTATTTTCTCTAAATCTGTAGTTTATATTCAATACATCATTTGTACAAAACACATTTTAGTCAGGAATTAAACTGAATATAGGTAATAATTGTAAGACTTGTTGTCGTCACTTGCTTATTTATTATAAATCTGTTAAAACAATTTATGTTTGTTTGCAATTTTACAAAAACATTGCATGTTCAAAACATTCCAGGCTTTGTTAGTTTTGACAACCCAACCAGTGCTCAGACTGCCATCCAGGCAATGAATGGGTTTCAAATTGGCATGAAAAGACTCAAGGTCCAGTTGAAACGCCCAAAAGATGCTAATCGTCCATACTAAAGAAACTTATTCTTGAGCACAAATCATTCATGCGAGAACTGGTAAGCAGTACCTGTTAAATGTTTCTTTCTTTCTTGTGATTAAGTTAGCTTTAATTACCTTTAATTAATCATTCATTATATTATTCTTGATTACATCCATAGTTATGTGTTCTAGTTAAACACATAAGTGCTTCTGTTTTATTAATTTCTGCTCTAGTCTCATATATTATTCCTTGTGGTTGTGTCAAAAGAATTATTAAAACTATTGGTTGTTGCTAAAAATGTTCATTGAGTTTTTAATTTAGCTTTTGAGCTCAGCCTCTAGGAAACTTAGTGAGAGAACACCATAAAAAGGAAAGATTGAGAGATGCACCAGTGCCACACTACTGCCCAGAATTATAAACAGGCAAGCCAATCAGTTTACACTTAAAGTCTTGATTTTAAAGAACTGGGAAGTTGGAAGTAGTGATTAAAGGATTTTGTTCAGGAAAACTAACCACCTTTGACCAATATTTAAGAAACGATTCAAACAAAACAAGAAAAGACCAAATGAGGAACAAAGAGATTAGAATAACTACTGAGAAACAAAGACTGAAATGGTTCAGCCACCTGGTAAAAAAGAAGCCAACGGTGGCAGCAGCCAGAGCAAACAACCTAAAATGGAAAACACCAAGAGGCAGAGGGATACTTAGAAGAATACTGATGGAGTCAATGCCAGCCTAAGACTTCACAACATCCCAGCATGCCGAAACATCTGAGCATACCCTAACTGGTCATCTAACACCAGTATCACAGAACTCGGGATGTATTTTGTCTCTTCTGCAAAAAATGGATTCATTTAGTTCACTGGCCAGTTATGAAAGCAAATGTGTTGGGACAGACGAGAGCTAAATGTAGGAAGCCAAAGAATAACAAGAAATCCACACAGGACTGGACTGGTGTCATCAGCAACTAAACACTGCTGGATTTACTGAGGAGGGGGATCTAAACACGTATGGACTGAATGGTTCAATGTGCAGTGAGAATAATCTGTCAACTAACTTAACTAGTTTGATGCTACACAAATTCAATTGTCATAATGATAATGTGGCTTCAGACTTAAACTTTTTTCTCCTATTAACTTATGGGAAAAAGAAAGATGTATCCATATAATCCAGAAGAGTTGAACAGGGTATCCTTGACTGCTCTACCACTACTACTGGAAATGTAAGTGGAACTGGGATCTATGTCTTCAGTTGCAATAAAATGTTGTTTACATTATCTCTTTATCCAAAATTTGTTGTCAGATCAACTTTGACAGTGAGCAGTGGTATGTTGTGTGTGCGTTGTTTCGATTCAACAACAAAACTGATCACAGTTAATGTCAAACACTGCATACTTGAGATTTGGTTTAGCATTTGAATGGAAGTGGCATATTCCAGATTATATTCTTTCAGTGACATTTGTTAGTTTTGTAATTGGATCCGTTTAGCAAGGTAGACATGGATACAAGTCTAGAAGAAGATTAGTCTAAATGTGGCTTGAAATATAGCTATTCAGAGATAGAAAGAAAATGGATGTGAAGTAACATAATTTGTGCTTGACTAAAGTTTCTTATTTTTTAAAGTATTTTAGACATGTATGCCGAAATTATAGACATGAAGAAAACTACTTTGACAGCAGAATATTCTAAATAATGATTAACACATACTAGAAATTTCCACTGATATGTGTGAAAATAAATTGAAATTGGACGAAAGTCAAAATGTGTGTGAAAGTGACTAATGAAGCAATTGCATTTCAGAGTAATTTCTGCTATATTCTTCCTATTTTTTTCTCCATTGGCATTTTCCTGTAGCCCTACGAACAAAGGCTTGTAGCTCCAACTTCAGGGGCTTGTGATTGGATGGTGTTCATGCCAATCACTCTACATTAGCCAATCTCCATCAGTCAGGTGTAAGTGGGCGGGATTTGTAAATATCCAATCAAGTTGTAGACATTGTTCTATATTTATCTGCCTGTGCTCTTGACAGTCTAGTTCGTGTTTATTTTTTTTTTTTTTTGGTTGAATATTACCACATTTTGTAACACGTGTGTTCATTGGTCAGTTTGGTTGGTTGGGTGTTTTCCTCTTGTGCTCTGTGCTATGATTGCAAGAGTTGTAATTAATTCCTTCTTATTAACTTTGTGTGTTTTTTTTTTTTTTTTTTAATAAAGAGTGATATATTGTGGCTTTGATAAACATTCATCACTATTATTGTTCTTTAGTGAGTCATTTTTGTTTTGGCATTTCTGTTGTTTGGTTGTATATGTTTTGTGGGTGTGTTTGTTATGTATACTCACTGGTCTCTTGGCATTTTGGGATACTATTTTAACACTTGGATATTTTCTCTCTTTGTTGTGTCACTAGTAACCACAGCAGCAAGTAATTTTGGTGCGAAATTGACAATACCTCATTGTTTTGTTCCCTTTCAGTTTATGTCAAGGTTAAAGTTGTTTAGATGTAATCACACATTTTTTTTTTTTTTTACAGCAGTAATGTATGCAGTTATTTCCTTTTTTAATTTTAATTTGTTATTTTGTGGGAGTCATGGTTATACTGGGTAAGACGCTTGCCTGCTGACCCCAAGACCTTGTGTGTTAATCCACTTACGGTGGTGAACTTTTTTTCAAAATTATAACAATTGACCTCCACTCCCATGCTGACCCAGCCTAAAATGGAAACCAGTAAATATACTGGTAAGTAGAGGTCGCTGGTTTCCGGTTCTGTTTGGTTTATAAAACAATACAAAAAAAAGTATAGCATCATATATCCCAAATGTACCTTTTTTTTTTAAACTTTACTTTTACAAGAAAAAGGGTTTGGGATGTAAACAAAAAGTATCTTTTGTACAGAGTAATCGTTTTACAATTTAACATAACAGTATTTAAATTTGCGCTGTTCTGTGGCATAGAGGCTAGTGAAGGCTTTTAATATTTCCAATGGTTTCCAGGGAGTAGTACAAGAGTCACACCATGGAAGAAAAACTGGAAACCATGTAAAATTCCCCAAACAGCAGTGGGCTTACTATAGTCAACCTTTATTGTAGAGACTGCACATAATGTTTTTGGTTAATCATTTTTGCAAGAAGTAGCTGCTTCAAGTTTTAGATTAACAGTTGTATTTCTGTTATATAAATGCACAATCTGGCTGTAGTGACTGAAGTTTGGATGTGGTAGATTTATTGATTCCCAAGACAGTTACAAGAAGTATTCAGAAAGTAATAACAATTTTTTCTCAGTGAAAAATGAAACAACTTAGAAATTGTGCGCACTTTAAATTTGAAGTTTGAATATTCTGTTTACATAAAGCCAGAGCTCATAAAAACAAAATGATCAGTTGCATGAATCTGTTGAACAGCAATTGTAAAATTTATGGCTGTGAAAAAATTTGCAGTAAACATTCATAAACATTTGTGTGCTGTGTGTAGATAGGAGCACCGCTGGTCTCTGAGTTCAGAAAGTTCAAGCTTTAGAAAGTGTAGAGATAGACCAACAGATGTGACTCAGGCTGTAATGAAATCTCCACATGATAAGAACAATAGCTGGTACAAGCAATATGTGCCTGCTCTTGTTTCATGTTTGTGTAAGGTCATAGCCGTGGATGGAGGCTGGGTAAAGAATAAGTTTGCATAAAGAACATGAGTTACATTCGTCAGAGAATTTAAGACATTTTCCACAAAGTTTGTAAAGGAAAAAAGGGAGGGGTGTCTTACTTTCTGAATGCTACTTGTAAGTACACAAATCATAATTTGTTGCAAAAAACTGTTGGTACACATGTTGCAAATTAATATGAGAACTACATTATATCATGGAAGATGAGTTGGCATAATGATTATTGTTGATGCCGACCACTGTCTGTGCAAATACACACTGTAACCACCATCTACACTACTTACAGCTTACCTATGTGGGTAGTTTCTATCAGCTCTATACACAGTTATCTACTGTAATCAGGATAATGATGTATGCAAATAAAATTCAAAGGTGTATGTACAAAGGCAGTGATAATAAGAATACTCATTGCCCAGACTATTATTCAACTAGCTTATGTATCTGGAGAGGTTTTTAAAGAAGCCATTTTAATTCCTGAATTAGTTTGTTTCCGGAGCTATACAGGAAACTAGTGATGGGGTGTCGGTCGTTGTGATCAAGTGGGGGGGGGGGGGGGAAATAGGGATACAAGAGAATTTCCATTGGGGGGGGGGGGGGGAGACCCCTGCCCCCTAAGAAGCATGTTGTAAAAGACAACTAACTATGGTATTGCTAAAATATGATTATGTTAGACTGAAAGGCACACATCACGGCATAGCTGGAACCCACAACACAATGTGACAGCATTCTTTTTGAGGGTGAACTCAGGAGGAAAAAGAACAACATTTACAACATATGAGGGGGAGAATGGCAGCAGTCAGATATTTATTGGCATTTGTGGGGCAAAGTAATCTTCCAAAATAAGTGACAAGCAGCAAACATTTTCAAAAAATAGTAAAAGGAAGACAGGTAAATACCTGGATGGCTTAATCACAGGACATGCGCAGTACAAGAGCACAGACCTGATTAGCGACTTTGGTAATTGATTGTGTCAGCTGGTAACCATAGAATGCATATGCTTATTGGCAGTGCACATGATATTTCTCAAATGGCAGATGGCTGAGTTCACTTCAGAACTGATAACACGGGACTTAGGACATTGTAAGTGCTCCATACACATCTACAGCAGCCAGAATTCCAATAGCAGACTGTGTGTCCATCTTGCCCTTCCTCTGAGTGTTGATTGCCGGCCAGACCCTATGGTCATCCCCTACACTGCCATTCTCTTCAGACTCGTGATCTGTTTGTGCTTCTGCACTGTTAACTTGCCTCCACCTGACAACTGTAATCTTGTCATGCATCAGTTCTCCACCTGGTGGTGCAGAACCAGACAAGAAAAGATCCACACGAGGCTAACTACTTGAGATCTCTGAAGTGATGTTTGCCATTCTGCACGGACAATACCTT